TTCCCTACAAACGGTTTGAGCGGTTCCAACTGGGAATCGCTGCCGTTAAACCACGTATTTTGCTATTTCTGCTTCGCCAGGCATCACCGGAACAGGTTATTTTACCCAAATACCAGGAAAATCTATAAATGCCACAATGTGACACACCAGAAAAACACTTTTTCCAAGCTCCTCAACGGGCTGTATTTTCCTTTTTTTCCCTATGGGAATGCTAGAACCCAGCAGATAAAATATCCGGAGCCTGATCCTGCCGACAGCCCGGTGCTCGCGGCAAAGGGAAGGGAAAGGTGGGCAGAGGGTCGCCACGTTTTGGGGATGAGGGATGCTTGGTGGGCCTGAAAATCTTGACAATTAAAAAAACCCAAACAAGCCCAAACCCCCAAAAAAATGGATTTATGGGTATCCAGCGGCTCTTATTGCTATTGTCGGCTGGTTGAGTTTTCCTATCGAAAATAAACTCCCCAAAAGTGGTTTTTTTCCTCCTTCTAGGCAAGAAAAATCCTCGTTTCACCCCTTCCAGCCCGGCACCGGCACCGCATCATCTCAAATCCTCCGCGGGGACGGATCTGCTGCCAGGATGCAGGAGGGGAAGGAAGGGATGGGAAAGATGGGGCTGGGGGGGGATGTTTCTCCGGGAAGGACCGTGTTCAGCGAGATGCCAGCAGCTGGGGGAAAAACCTGATAACCCTGAAACACCCATCATCAACAACAAAAAAATCAACAAAAAAACCCCAACCAACCCCACCCTTAAATAACACTTCATGGTAATTACATCTTGAAACTGCAAAAAAAAAACCACCCTGGGTTGTTCTTATTATCCATAAAATCCGGGAGCAAATCGTCACCCGGCGGGTTCAGCCGCTCGGAGGTGTGATGGGTTCAAGCTCCACGGGGCTCGCTCGGGTTGGGGGCTGCCACTGCTATTAAAATGCCTTTTTTTCCCCAAAAAAATCTCAAGTTACAGCTTGTGGTTTAGAGCAGGGATGGATTACGGGGCGTACCAGCGGTTTGGGAGTTATTTTCCTTCCTCTTTAGCTGGAATTTTCATCTCCGATAGACTCTGCTGACCCCCGCTAAGGATGGTTTAACTCCTCCTGCTCTTCTCCGCTAACGCCCACTGTGATCCTTCATCATGGGAAACCCTTTTCCTTAACCAAAGCTTTGCTGGAGTGAAATATTTGAGAAGCTCATGGTCCAAATTAGTGTCCTCCCCCACCCCAGGATCTTCACTTCAGCCATGAGTTGGCCCTTAAGCCATCAGTTGGCCAAGGAAAGGGCTTGGGATTTCCTCCCATGCTTCCATCTACCCAAAAACCCACTTCCCTCCATGGGGAAGGGGACGCAGCTGGAGATCACTGCTGGCATGAGCTGGGGGACATCAAGGCCCACATCGTCACATGGTAGGAACATCTCCCCACCATTGCAGCCCCTTGAATCCACCTTGGGAAGGAGCTCTCCAAGCCTGGAGCCATGTGGTGGCCCAAGCCTACACCTGACACCAGTTGCCAAAGGGGCTCACCAAAGCCCCTCGCCCAACAGACAGTGAATATTTCACCTCTTTACACCCTGGTTGAGTCAATGGATGTTTCTGCTTGGGCGTAACGGGATGAGGAGCATCATATCTGCTACTGATCCAAGTGAAGGAATTAAAACTAAACCACCCCATGTCAGATCTCATTAGCGGTAACACTGGGTGATCCTCCACGCTCAGCTCCTGGAGCTTTCTAACCCCACCTTTAGTGGTTTCTTTCCTTTCAGGAGAAAGCCTCCCATCTCCTTCCTAGCCATGGGCCAAAATTTTAGCAGTCGTTCCTAATGCCCTCGAGGGCAAAGGGGGCCGAGGGCAGTGGTAGGATGGTGTCTGCTGGTGGAGATGTGCTGGGAAAGGTCCTCCTCTGCAGAGCCCAGGCTGTGATAATGAAGCTCGTTGGACCCTGCAAGTCGTAGTGCCGTTACGTTGGCTCGAGCTTACTCTATCCTACGTGTCTCGGTGCTGATGGACAACAACTGATGTGTAACGTGAAGTCACCACTGAGAGCAAAAAGGGATATTTGAGAGGTCTTCAATTTATTTGATTTATTGGGGTGGGTTTTTGGCCCAGCGTGCTACAAACAGTGGAAGGACGATGTAGTATCGTTATTTCCAAGTGTCCCGTTGCTGTTTTCACGCTAACCTTTGGGTTTGCCAAGCTCAACGGGGCAA